ACACAGAGTGTCCCTGCGGTATTCCAGAAAAACAATTTTTTAAAACAAAATTTCAAAAAAATTGTAAATTTAATGGAATGAATAAAAAATATATGTAAAAATAGGTTAATTTTTATTATTTTATTAAATAGTACAAGCTTTTAGCTTTCAAAAGAAGAAATAAAAACCTGCTAATTTTTTGCACTTTCTGAAGTAATGTGTTTTTCGCTAATGCATAAAATCATTTTTTCATTTTTTGTCATTGCCTTGAGATCTGCACGATTCGTTCCATTTTTAAAAATGAAGTGTCAGATTAAAAAGCTTGACCTGTTAACAAAAGAAGTTTTTTTTTAAGAGTTGCCACCTGTTAAAAAATTAGATTAAAATTTTTATAAGTTAAATGAAGAAAGTTAAGAGATGGGTATCAATAGAAATGTATACCAACTACATGCAGAGAGTTGCCACCTGTTTAAAAAATCAAATTCCACTTGAATTAAAGGAATTAGGTAATTTAAATAGATAGGTATAACCATAGGGAGTCAGCCGAAAGAGGTTTAAGAAGGTTTTAGCTTAAAAATATCACGAATAGGGTTGCCACCTGTTTGTAAAGTCGAATTTAGTTAAACTAAAATAATAATTACGTCAAACCATAGGATTACGCCATCGTATTTGTTATTTTATTACAAATACATACATTTACAATCAGTGATTTTTTCTGATTACATTCCTTTTAAATTACTGGACTCTTAAATTAACTCATTAATGTTTTTACTCTTCACTTATTTCTTTCTAAATATGTCAACTTTTTTCATTTTTCTGATACTCATATTGATATACATATTTCAGTTACCTTATTCCCTTAATTAAAGCGAATTTGATTTTTTAAACATGTGGAAACCTTTCTACCTGTCGTTTAGAAGTAAAGTATTTTCAAAAATAGTTCAATTGATACCCATATTGTAATATCTAGTTCATTTGACTTATTAAATAATTTTAATAAAATTTGTAACACGTGGCAATCCCAAGCCCTGTCATTTGACACTTTACTTTTGAAAATAGAACGAACTATATGTACATACCTATGTAAAAGCCACAATAACACAAAATTTTCTACTTCAAACTGCATTTACAGGAAAGGTATGACAGTTATCCAAATACAAATTGCATTTTTGAATTTAGCGTCCTCAATTTTACTAAGAAGCGAGTTTTCATTTAAATCCGTCCATAACTCTATTTTTGCCCACATTTTATATGGAAGGGAAGCACTGTGCGTCGGTTATTTTTACGGCGAGAAAATATTTAGATTCATTTCCGTTTTTCCCGCCGGGTCGAAGACTCAGGGTTGCTTTTCTGACCATTTCATGTCAATGGCCCAAAACACGCGAGAGTAATTACGTATGAACTATTTTTTGTTTTCTCGTGTCACCCGAGATGAATAAAAGCAGTGCAGAAAAATGTTAAGTGTGTTTTAGTCCAATTTCCGTCGCAATCATTTACCGTTCCCATCGCAATTGTGTTTACCCGACCGAATTTTCCGATTGAAATGGATCAGCAGTTCGCCACCCGTCAGCCCGTTACACGCTATCCGCTGCACTTCTGTCTACCATATTAGCTTTTTTATTTTTCGGTGGCGATGTTGAAATTCACCTCCCGTCATAGTTGTGTGGGATATCGATTCCGTCGCACTCGTCTATTTACTTGGGTTGATCTTCTTCACTGGTTTCAGTGATGTTATCATTCAGAAGGGTTTCTTAAAGGTTTGGTAGTTTGAATTTCAATAAAGAAACCTTGCAATTTTCTTAAACGTGTTTCAGTTGACAAAATTCCACAGAAGCAGGTCCAGTGATTCAAATATTTTTTTGTCTAGACCAGGGATGTTGCGAATGTGGAATTTTAGACATCCGCGGATGCGAATGCGGATGCGGATGTTTAAAACCTAACATCCGCGGATGCGAATGCGGATGTCATGTATTTTCAAGAAATAATTTGGATGGGTAAATAGGGTGATTTATTTAAGTAAATAAAAAAAGGAAGGGTTAATAATTTTTAATAATCTGCCTTATCCTGAGTTTCGCCCGAAAAAAAAATTCTGCCCAAAATTTGTATTCCGTCCATAGTAAATATGTACATGAAAACCAAAAGTGAAAAGTGAACCGCTTCGGGGAAAATTAAACTCATGATAAGACTGAATTTTTTTTTAGTACTTGAATTAAAAAATTGGAACATTATACTTAATAATTTTGAATTGCACGACCCACTCCGTTGCTTATGCCAGGATTTTAACTCTCATTCCAGCACGTTTGATATATCAGATCCGCTTTTCAGCATTAAGAAATCGATACTGTCCTCTCCCAATAAATGAATCATTAAAATAAAGACATAAAATCGGCTGATGAATTTAGTTCTGTAGCTGAACAGTTTTAGATCTCGACACTTAATATTTTTGTTCCGTTGCCGATAAGAGTTATTTCCCAACGTTTATTTTTTACGTTGCTTGATAAGTTATTTTACAACGTTTATTTTTTACGTCGCCTGTTAAACGTTGTAAGATTAGGATATTGATGAAGATGGAGAACAAGATAAAGATGATGAAATAAAAGTGAGAGAGTGAAATAACTCTTATCCGATAACGTAAAAATAAACATCGGGCAGTAGCTGTTATCAAGCAACGTAAAAAATAAACGTCGGGCAATAACAGTTATCAAGCAACTTGAAAAGTAAACGTTACGAAATAACTCTTATCGGCAACGGAAAAAATATTTCTCCTTTAATAACTGTTATGAAACAACGTTTTCGTTAAATTTCAGAATTTGGGCAACGTTTTCAATGTCCAAATTCGAGATAACAGTTATTTTTGTCCCTGGAAAATACTGGTTCCGTACGTCATGCGGACTGCGCCCCTCGTGCGGATGGGCGGGAATGGAGGATAAAAACCGTTGGAATATATTAAAAAACCTTTCGAAGGGTCGTAAATCAAACCTGCGCCTCTATATAACTATGCGCTCGAGGCGACAAAACTTGAAAAATTTGAAAATTGGCAAAATTGTAAATTCTTTTTGACTTACACTGCACCAGTTGAGAGGACTTTCAGTTATATTTATTTATTTTTATTGCGGTGCAATAGTTACTTTTTGAGAATTTCATCGGGGCTGCAATTGTCGGATGTATCCTCCTGAATTTCAGCTTCACAATCTAGCATCATAGCACAATCGTTGTTTAGACACCGTTTTTTCCAAAGAATTCTTTATTCTCATTCTTTTGGTTGTTTCGGAATTTGGAGAAACTGTCACGTCATTCGAGTTTTTCGATTTTAGTTTTTGTAACTCATTTTTAATGCTTTCTTCCGTGACTGGTTCGATATACGTCTGGGCACTTGCACAATATTCCAGGGACCGAAAATAACCAAATATCCAAATTAAACAAATTTGGTATCATATTAAAGAGGACTGAAATAGCTTTTAAACAGAAATAACGAATGAAGGTTACCACCTCTATTTAAATTTTTTTATAACTTAATACTAAAGAAATTCATTTAAATACATACCTGACCCAATGTTTGTTCTATGGTAATTAATTAACATTTTTTATTGAAATATTTTTCAATGTGTGGCTTTCCTCGTTTCGACATTTCAGTGTTAAAGCTATTTCAGTCCTCTTTCATTGATACCAAACTTGTTTAATTTGGATAAGCCGTTTGTTTATTATCCGGATAGGACGTTTATTTCGGAATAAAAAATATTTGGTCAAGTTTAACTCGTAAAAAAATAACTGCAATTTTCAGTCTCTTCAATATTCGCATTCGCAAAAGATCCGCATTGATGGTAGGTGCACCTCTAGCGCTCATAGAAGAGATCCCTGAACGCCTCATTCTACTCTTTCATCGATGCGTGGGCGCAAAATCTATGTGACAAATTCATTACCTAGTCAGGTATTTTTGAGAGAAATAAATAAACAATATTAAAGTTACGCACTTTTACTAGATCGCTCAAAAATTTTAATAAAGACGAATGAAATAAAACCGTTTGTTGGAAATGCTTTGTGGCGTTGAACCATCGTGAGAAATTATACTTACTACTTATATATATCGTTATTTTAGTTTTTTGCTAGATTCGAGCTGCTTCGACCGTTTTATAAATTAAAAAGTGTTAATTTTGGCTGCAAAATTGTTCCTTAACGTATCCTTCTCCCTTTCGTCTTCAATCTAATTTATTCCTTGTTCCAAGTCATTAACGATATGAATCGGGAAAAATGTTTTCCTTGATACAGGCATTGCGAGTTTGTTACCCAATGAGAGTAATAAACGTGACTCTTGTGGTATTGCGATGCTTGTCTTGTTGATGAACCAGTATTCCAATCAAACAAATGAAAAAATTTGCGATATTCGTTGAAATTTGCGCTTACAGTTTATTTTGATGGAGTTTTTTGGTATTTGTGGCGATCTTCTTCGAGAATTGCGTATGGTTGTTTATCCGTTTCGTGAAGTCTATTACGTAGTGTTTCTTGAATGTGTTTGACGGTTGTGATTATTTTTATGTTAATATTGAATTCTTTAATTTCCAAATTCAAAATTTTCAAAAGAAAGCATTGATCTAATATTCCTAACTCTCGTCGAGTAGTGTCAAATTTGAAAAAGTGTATTAGTATCCTCGTCTTACGCTGTAAATGTGGTTCATAAAATTGTTTCATGTTTATTGTTGTGAATGGTTTTTCCTTTCCGTTTTCTTCGGATTTGCTCACCGATACTTTTTTTTATATATGATTGGACGAAGATTCTATTGAAATTGTATGCTGGGTTTTTGCTTTCCAACAAAACCCAGCAAACAATTTCACTAAAAATTTGGCTCCTGTAAAAAAGCGATATACACTTATACGTATATTAAGCGGGGATGCGATATATTGCTGCTACAGTCGACGTTAGAAAATTAGATTTGTGAAAAATTTTGTTAAATTTAATAAAAAAAACATACACATTTTTGATTTTTAAATTCACTACATTTTTTATTTATAGCATTTTTCGCATGTATGTATGTAATCACTTAATATTTAACGCAGATACAAAAAAAAAATATAATACAATTAGAATAAAAACTTGCTTACATTTGTTTAACAGGGATGACATGTCCACTATTGAGAATTATTTTATATTCCATAGTGTACAGGTATCTCTCCAATATGCTTGCATTCAATTTTTATATTCTTACGGACTTCTTTTCTATTTGCCGACTTTTTACAAATTCTACCGCTTGGACTTTTCTCTTTTATATGCGTTTTTAAGGTACAATATTGTCGTTTTACCTAACTAATTTACAGAAGATTAATTATCGTGGCAAGTGGGAGTATTCTTTGAGCTTAAGTGAGCCTGTTAATCTAGTGAGAGAGTGAGTAATTGAGTAAATGACTGAGTGGAAATGAGTAAGTTTGAAGGTGGGTGTAGTGGCGGTGATCAGCAGCTACGTATGTCGATTATTTCGTGTATTCGCATTTAAGAGGTGGTGAGAGAAATGAGAGATGCCATGGAAATGCTAGCGACGTGGGGCGAAATGTTTACGGGGACGAAAAGAGATCTAAGTAATATTTACAAAATACATAAGGGTCTATCACTGATTCGAGGGACATATTTACTCGTATGAATGGCAGTGTTTTTATTGCCAAGATTACAGGTTTGCATGCATTAGCTTTAGAGAACGATAATGAAAAGAGCAGATGAAGTTATAAAAATACGAGAGTATTGAAAGCATATGGCTGTAGAGTATGTATTGTGAAGACATTTATGAAATCCCTATTTACACACACTGCGCTCCGGTGCCGAAATATCGGCCGACTTTTGGTAGATCGATAAGTAATCGCGATTTTATGATACACCATCTCGTCCTCTCCACTTCTTCTCCTTTCACTTTTTCGGTCGTCATCGTAGCATGGGATTTTCAATATATTAATATTAGATATTCGTTAATAAATAAATTCTAACGCTTGTTTGTTTGGAGTGGGGTCAGGTCCATTATTAGCGTGCGTTCATTTCGCTATCTTAGTAGTGAGAGACATGGGCGTGCGCATCGTGGGTGGCATATCCGTAGGCGGCGGGAGCGTGATGCGCCAATGATAAAGCTGGAGCGGCGGCAACATGGTGCGCAACTACTGGACCATGAGAGAGTACGGGAGCGTGCGCAACAGCAACTGGAGCGGCATGATGGATGGTGGGGGCGCTCTTGGAGACGACGGCATTGAAACCGTTATGGTCATCGGCGGTATACTCGACAGTGCGCACCGAACCGTCTGGTTCGACGAGCGAGTAAGAGCCCTTCACCACATCACCATCGCGAACTTCGTGCTGTGACTTCACATCACCGGTATGTGAGTCGGCAACACCGTAGTTGTAGTGGTATTTGGGGTAGGCCTGTCAAAAGATAAGAAGAAGATTGAAAAATATTATTAGAAACATTTTATGAAGCAATAAAATAAATAAATATTTAATTATACTAAGCTTTGAGCTATAGGAAAGCTTCAAACATATATATGTATATGTATGTATGTGCTAGTTGACGTAACTTATTCGCGTGTTTGGTTAGTCAAAGTGTTTGACGGCTCTAATGCATTGCCCAACGTGGGAATCATTCATTACACCTCTGTTCGCTGTCATGCCGGCTGTTGGCTTATGACTCAACCCTCCGAACCACTATAACAATGACTTGCCACATTAGCGTTTACGCCCGCGTAACCACGTCGAACTTGCGAAGGTCAGCGACATCGTGTGAATGAAGTCGTGTTCTCAGCACTCAAATAATGCAAATGTTCGCAAGTAAATTCAAATGCCATAGCGCTTTAGTATGGGAAATTCACTTTTTGGGGCGTTGAAGTAATTTAATTCGGGAAAGAGGTGTTGCTGAGAACATTTTTCAGTGCATTTTTGTTTTTTACTATTTAATTAAGTAAAATGTTGCAATGTCCAAATTACAAGTTTTCATTGTAGTCTTGCAACGAATGCGAAAAAATGATACAGTAAAGGGAATGGTGGTGAATTATGAAATATTATTGTGTGACTTTGCACACTATTATTTGTATAGCCCGTCAATGTTTTTTTAATAATGGGAAATTTAAGAACTAGGTATATATGTAACGAGAGAGAGAGAGAGAAATAGAGATCTGGGTATTGTATTTGAATAATAAGGAATTTATTCCTTTCTAACGGACTTCAAAAAAGAAGGAAGTTTATCAATTCATGATATAATATAACCACCTTCCGGCAAAAGCTAGTGCAGCATTCATGCTTTTGAAGAACGTGTGCGATAACTGTTCACTATTGGCACAGATATTTAGTTTAAAAATTATGGAGTAAAAGATGGAGTCAAGTGTAATCGAATGGATATTGGGTTGTCATTCGTGTTGCCATCCCCACAGTTTTAAAAGTAAATAACTAATTTAGTCCTTGCTGGAGTATTTGTCTGTTATTCTACAAGTAAATTTACCATTTCCTTAAATCAGTCAACACGTTGAGTGTTGCTGGCAGTTAAAAAGCCACATGGGTCTCACTTTCTTTTCGACTTGCGTGCAATTTTAAGCACTTTTTATTTCTTGCATATCTCTTCTTGCTGCAGATGTTAAAAATGAAAAAATTTTAATTTAATTTTCGCCTCAACGCCATCAACATTTTTCAACTATGAGATTGATTATACAATTTTTAAATACCACTTTCAAAGTTGTCACAATCAAAGCTAGTTTATAAAAGTATGTAAATGTTGAGCATGTTTATTTAGTTATCTCAACACACGCATACACTCAAACAAAGAGCATATCTAGTATTATGTATGACATATTAAAATTCGCGCAACAAAAGTGAAGCGTAGTGAAGTGAAGTGGCGATGTGGCATGTCATTTGTTTATAATCATAAGCGTCACTGAAGACTGTTACTCAACACTTACTCAGCAACAGCAGCAACAAGAGAAACAACAACAACCGCAAAAGCCGCCACTGTCACAGCTGCCAAATTGTGTGATGCGAGCAGCGAGCCACCACCGGCAAAGCATTGCGCCTGCTGTGGCAGACTTTTTGCACATACTTATGTATGTACATACATATGTATGTATGCATATGCAATGCATTGTGCATCGCCGCTCTCTGTCTATCAATTGTTTGTTTGTAGTGATTTCTCAGAGATGATGTCGTAGTAATTTTATTTATTTTTATTTTTTTTTTTGATTTTGTTGTTATTGCTACTGTAATTTGCGTGTCAGCGTGTCAGCGCATTGCTGGCGCATACATATCGGCAGCATGTAATCTGGAGCAATGAAGTGCTGCTATCCGAAATGGCACATCGCACAAAAACAACCAGAGCAACAAAAACAACCACAGAAACAACAATAACAAACGCAACAGTAACAACGATTTCTAGCGCACAATAATACTATTTGCTCTTGTAATGTTTTGAATTTTGCATTTGGCAGCATTTGCAAGCGTTTGCAAGCGATTACGTGCAGTTTGTTTTTGCTATTACTTCTGCTTTGAGTGCCTGCGGCTACTTGCTGCAACTGCGTTTTTATGGGATTTGATTTTATCATCGAATTGAAGGCGAAATTACAGCAGAATTAGGTGAAACGATGGCGCTGTATTACAATTGGTCAATTGGGCGCTAGATAAGCGAATAGAAAATTGTAAGAAATTAAGAAGAAAAAAAAGGGGAAGAATGGTGGTCACCCAGTATTTTAAATGTGTACCTAAATTTTTCATTGAGATGTGGGTGGTGACTATAGGAGCACATATAGCTGTTTGGGCAGAAATGCTCTTAAAAATGTTTGTTTTGAGCTTTAACCATTGTCTAGCAATGGCCATTTTTCAAATCTCAATTTTATGTTTAAAATCGTCTTTGTAGCAAACCAATCAATCAAATAAAGATTTGAGCGGCACGAATGATTATCAAGCAATAATTGAGTGACACTTCGAAACTGTAGTCGTTAATTTCTGTAGTGTCGGCTTTGATGCGTTAAAGTGTTTCTACATATATGTTATCTGCTAGCTTTGATTCAAATGTAAATGCAGGTTCGTTGCTTAAGTCTTTTGTTAATTGTAAAAAACTACTACAGAATTAAGTGCTCGCTGCCACTTATTAATCTTCGCTTTTGTTCATGAATTATGCAAGCGGAAAATATTAATTGCAGCTTATCAAGCCACAAATTTGGGAAAAATGCAGCAGTGTTGCCAATTAAAAAAAAAAAAGAAACGTTTCCACTTTTTGAGTGACCTTGTATCTACTTGTTTTGTAATTTATCTGAGGTACTAAATTTTTATATAATTTTGGCACAAAGAATACTTGTAATGCTTTAAGAAATAATAAATTTTCGCAGTGGCATTTAAATTGAAGGATAAATTTCTAACGAATTCCGAATCTTAGCCATTTATTTTAATGTTTGTACTCTGACATAATTTTTTATTTTTCAGAATTTGTTTCTCTGCAAGTATAACTTTTTTCTGAACAGAAACGGGTACCAATTCTACATACATTAGGGCAAAATTGAAAATTTTCACTGTTGCGCCCCCTTGTGGAAATTTTAAGAAACAGATTAGTCCAGGAATGGATTCCTCACCTTCTATAGCATATTTTTATACAAAATTTAAGCATTTATGACACTACTGCAAAATTCTGAGAAACCTATTTTCGCAATTTGGCAAACTCCAAATTGATTTTAGACCCATGCTCTCTTCGGCGAATCGGCTTAGAATTACACGCTGAATGCTTCTGTGCTATATGCGCATAGTGGCAAAAAAAAAAAACTCTCATACAAATTGACCCGGCCTAATATATAGTATAAAAATTAAGGAAAATTTATGAAGCTATATCAAGAATTTCTCCTAGCTTTCAGTGACGTGTTGAATGCTTTTATTTTATTTGAAATGCGCAGCACAGATAATTAAAAGTTCATTACTAGGTGACCTTATAGTTGCACCTTTTGACTTGCAGCCAATATTTCAAGCGAAAAAGGACTATTAGATTAGTGCAAGCACCATACAAATAAATGTGTATAGATTGTATAAGATTTTCTTCAAATATATTTGCTTTCCCTACATTGAGCGATTCTTTCTTCTAGAGCAGTGCTGTTTAACGTCAGTGTATTTATTTGATGCGATTATGTTGAGGAAGCCTTAAAGGCTCTTTTCGTGAACCCATACATTGGGTCAATTAGTAATAATTTTATATAGAATTTAACATTTTATCAAAACTGATTTCACCCGCCTCCCCTGCGTAGATTTAAAAGCACAAGAAGCGTATCTTACATAATCGGATGTTCTTTTATTTTGGCATCGAGTTAGTTATTCTACGATCGTACAATGGAGACGCCAATCTTCTGCAGGCTTGTTGAAAACTTTCTTAACTGGCAGATAAACCCAAATGCCTTTTATGCAATGAATAGGATATTTAAAGGAAGAATTTGCTTTACTGTGACGCGGGGAATTGGATTATTGGCGAAAGGTGGTGGTTAGATACATCAAATCAATGTCGGAAGTGACAGCCAAGCTCAACTGAAAGCATTGAAAATCGATCGGACCCGTTCAAGACTTACTATGGACTATAAGCTGGCGCTTAGCTACTACTGGTGGTGTTTAATTTTAATAGCTTATGAATTGACGTTCTGTTTATGTGTTAGAACACTAAATCTAACTGAAGCTAATTAAGCAGGAAAGTATAGCAGGGATCGAGTCCAGTACAAAAGAAATATATGTTGTTGTCGAGGCGAACCATAAGCCCAATGCAATTTAATTCAAGACAAACGAAAATTTGAAATTTTGATATACCCTTTCTATCGAATAACCCTTTCCAAGCCACAAATTTTAGTGGCAGTAAATTTCGCTTTAGGTGTTTCTGAGAGCAAGGTATAAGAATTAAATTTATGTATGTAGCTATGTAAATGGTTTTAAATTTACTATTTGATTTTGAATAGAGATGGAAATCGGAATATTAAATCCAGTTACCACTGATCTTAGTTTTAAACATTTATATTCCTTTGTGTCCTTGAGCATTTAACTTGTTTTTTGAAAATCTAAATTTTAGAACTAATTTTGGCCATGTATGGTTGCAAAATCTGATTGGAAATTCGATATAAACTGTTCCTATTTTGCTAAAAAAAGGAATTTAATCATTAAGAATATTTTCATATAACTTCCTTACTAATTGAACTTGGTAAACATTTAACACTTTTTGTGAATTTTCTCATATTTTTGGAGACTTTGGAAGCACATAACGCCTATGGAATGCTTATAAATGTATGTGGTCTAGAATCCTCATGCAAGATTATGGCAAAATGCCAACTATCTGCCCGAAAGCATAGTAAAGCCAAACATTTCCTATTGTGGAATCGAAATTTCTCCTCCAACGTTTAAGAATTAATTAAAAAGAGCTTTTTGTTGCTATTTGCAGTTTTCTCAACACACTTACATAATAGTCGAGTCCTTCATCGTGGGCAGGTCCATGTGCAACCGCCAGCGGTGCAGCAGCGTATAAACCGGCACCGTGTCCACCATGATGCAGAATGCCAGCAGAGGCAACGCTTAACACAGCCAAACACACCAAAGACTGTAACGAAGAATAAACAAATTAATAAAGTAATTAATTAAGGTGCGAAATTCCACAACTGTGCAGCACTTTGAAACGGTATGCAAGTATGTTTGCAAATGCACATGTGATATGTATGTGCTGTGATAATGGTTTTATTTTATTTTTTTTTTTAAGAACAAGGATATTATTTTACTTCAAATATTTCAGAGTTTTTTTTTAATAACTACAATTCATCCTTTGATAGCTTTAATCCTTCTCAATATTTTCACAGTTTTACACAGTTCATAATTTATATATCTATATATATATTTTTTTTTATTGTAAGCCACTCACTTTGAAAAAGGCCATTTTTGTATTAGGTTTTATTTTGTTGCTTTATTTTGAATTAAAAAAATTACAGTTAGCTCTTGACTTCCCACTTTACTTCGGTCTATGCGACTTGAATTGCTGCAGTCAACTGATAACTAGAACCAAGAAGGAAGCTGCTTTTATATACTTGACTCCACCCGTTTGCCAGCGAATGCGAATGAACGAACTGTATTACTTTTGAACTTAGCTTTGCTCAGTCAAAGAGCTGGTGGCGCTCGAACTCAAACCGAACCGAAGCTTTGTGCTGCAATTGTGGCTATTTTTGATGTTGTTTGATGTGGTTGTTATTGTGGTTGTTATTGGTGGTGGTTTGTTATTACTGTTGCTTGAGTAGTTGGCTCGCTAGTTAGTTAGCCACAAACTACGTAGATGGAGGTGGAGGTGGAGGTGGTGGTGGTGGTCGTGGTGGTGGTAGTATGGTTTGTTAGCGACGCGAGACGTCGCTCTGAATTTGTTTGCTTGGTTTCACTATTCGATTTATTGTTGAAGGCATTTGGCGCAAATAAAATAAAGAGTAAACCTCTGCGTTCAAAATAAAGTTTCTAGGCAGTGTAGTGTTTTTTTTTTGTAATAACACAATCTTCACAAAAGCATATACATATATCGATATAGCTGCACTAGTATGTACAATATGTACTACATTAGCTTAACTGTTTTTTTTACATGGCAAACTTCTGCTACTGTAAATTCTACGTAGTTGTTGTTAAAGCAGCAGCCTGAATCTTGTTTCCCTTCTACTCAGAATTGCTGATCATCCTTAAAGATAGCTTCCATTCATAAGTAAGTATAAGTATGTATATGTGTATGTATTTCAAGCTACATATAACAAATAAATTGAATTAGTATTTATATATATACAGCAAAACAATTGTTGTTTTTGTAAATGATCGCTGCCAAATTTTGTGCTGAAATTTGTTGAATTCTCGCACCACCTTTAGCTTTCTTCACTTCAATACGAGTATGCTCAGCTTGCTGTATTAGGCGGTTTCGTTTTCATTTATTTATGTTCTAAAAGTAGCTAGAAAAGGGGTAAAAAAACAATCGTTGCTATTGTTGTCTTTAATTTTGTACTTCATGACCATGGATATTGAAGTCAATTTAACATGGCATTAATATTAACGATTGGCGTGGCTGCCACAAACACTTTCGCTCTATAAGTACAAGAGAGGTGTGTGTTTCGCTTTTGCCAGATTGAGGGTTAATTGCGTTTTTAATTTGAAAATTATAGGATTATTAAAAATCATTTTAAACACTTGCTTGATTAATTAATATTTGGTGTTTGACGGCCGTGTCACGTGTGTATAGTTAGTTAATGTGTTAGATTCGAGATTTCGCTTAAACCAAATAAAACAATTTTTTTCGTTTTGTTTCCTCTACGCTTTGATACCATTATCATACATCAAGCAGTGGAAAAGGAATATAAGAAGAGCGGGGAAGGAAAAAGTTTGAAAAACAGTGGCTATTAACATTTGCGAGCGGAAAACAATGGGGTATTTATACAGGGTGTCCAAGAAATAACCTGCCAAAGTTAAGGAGAAGGTAGGTGAGGGGTGAGCGGTGACAGGTAATAAGATCAACGGAAATAAGGTCAATTGACTTTATTTCCCACCCTGGTGCGAAATAAAGTCAATTGACATTATTACCATTTTAAAAACGAAATAAAATCAATTGACATTATTTCTCTTTCAAACATTAAATTTGCTTAGCTTCGCGGTTGCCCGCGTCAGCGCGCCACACCGCGCTAGCGCCAAGCGTACCCCGCGCGACCGGCGCGCACACCACGTCACGCTACGCCGCGCCCCCCGGCCCCCCTTCCCCTTCTCCCGACGTGCTGTAACGCAGGTAGATTTATTTTTTGTATACGCTGAAATAAATTTTTTATATATTTTAAACATCGAGGGCTTATATTCAATAATACCCCCTATCTGCACACATTTCACAAAGATTAGATTCTGATATAAAAATCCACCTAAGCTTTAACTGTCATCGGTGATATTAATGCTACCTTATATAACGACAGGTAATAAGTCCCAGATGGTTTCTAAAATCACAAATTAGTTTTTGTGCAAATTGCAGATAGAGGGTATTAATGAATTCAAGCCCTCGATATTTCACATTTTTATATTTGTAAGTTATTGGAAGCAGGGATGCCAACTTGGCTCAAACCGTGCCATTTGTTCCTATTTTACTTCAAATGGCACTTAATTTTTTCAATTTGGCACAAAATGCCAAAATGGCACTTTTGTAAAAAAAATTACATTTCAATACATTTTTGTGAAATCCTTTGCGTGCACTTCTTTTTCTCAACTAAAATTTTCTAATTTATAAAGGCTATTCAACTGGTTTATCTTATTTTATCATTGCACTTTTGTTTTGAAAATGTGGCCTTATTTTATTGCTAAATGTGAATGATTAAAAGGAATTACACCTTTTTTGGCACTTTTATTTTTCTATTTGGCACTTTTTTTATCCTCAATATGGCACCTCATAACTAAGGAGAGTTGGCAGCCCTGATTGGAAGATTTCTGCTGTGTTTTTGGGCAACAGCTTGTCTGCAGTAAAAAAGCATATAATTTGTGTTTCAAAAGTGTGTGAAAACAAATCAATTAACTTATATGATCTCGGTTCCGATATTAAATAATCAATAATTGTTTATACCCGCATTTTGGCACATTGGCTCGTTGAATGTGCCATCTAATAAATAGTGTCGTCGTTCTCCTTAGCTGCTTTTAAATGACTGCTGGCGGAGACATGAATACAGTGTAAGAAAATTATTTTTCTATAATTGTTTCCTTATAGAAAGGTTGGGTTCTTTTCCACCTTAGACATTCCGAATGCGTTCAAAATATGCTAATCTAAAACACAGAAGGCCTTCAGTGCTCCTCCGGGGTTTTTGGACATGGACTGTTTCTTCAATTTAATAGTGTTCGCTTTATTTTTGTAGAAACGAAAAATGTTTTGCAAGTTATGTATCATTTCTCCACTCTTTCTTCAAATATTTGTCGTATTCCAGCTTTGCGCAGGCGTTTAGTTTTTCGCATCGTGTTTTTACATATTCGTAATTTAAATTTTTTTAAAAGAATCAATTGGTGGTAGTTCATGATTGTGTGTGGATTAATATCACAAGACTGAGGATTTGGCAAAAGCCTTTTTCATCTATTAAAAAACAACACTTACGGGGCAATGTTTATTGTAAGAACAACATTTTTTTTTATGAATCGACATATTTTAAGCATTGTTGACGCTATTTCCATTTGAATGGGAAATAGCGTCAATGACTTTATTTCCAAATTTTTGTTGACTTTATTTCGCTTTCGAAAAGGTAATAATGTCAATTGACTTTATTTCGCACCAGAGTGGGAAATAAAGTCAATTGACCTTATTTCCATTGACCTTATTACTTGTCACCGGGTGAGCTAATTGAAAAAATATCAAGATATTTCAAAAACGGTAACTATTTTACCTGAAATATTTTTGCTTATGAGGGAGCTCACCCCCACCTACCTTCTCCTCAAGTTTGTCAGGGTACTTCTTGGACACCTGTATATAAAAAAACCGCACCGATGGCTTGTAGGTATGGTAACCATCCGTACTTTATGTCAAAGGACAGTCCTCTTTCTAATTATGCTGTCTTTATTTTTACAAAAAACTATTTGGTCCTTTATTCCAAAACGAGTCATTTGAAAGTACTTTTTTATACGAGTTTGACACTAATGCATTTCATATCGAGCCCTAACCGCCAAAAGGGCGTAAGCAACAAAATGTTTTTAACAGAAATCGATTACTTACTACCATACGCACCAGCTGTCAAAATTTCAAAGACCTACGAAGAACCGTTACAAAGTTAAAGCAAAAGCAATTTTGGCTTAAGTGCTTAATTGTAATCTGTTTAAATTTTTTTTGTGCACGCAGTGTCGGTTAAGCCTTTTTCTCCGTAAAAAATTTTTTAATTGCAGAGAAAAAAATTTTTATTGCCTCTATTTTTCTTTCAAATATGGACTATTTTCAAAATAAACGTAGATACATATATTTGTAGTAGATTAAGATTTAATCAAAAGTATAAAAATATAATACATGTATCTGGTGTTAAAATACTTGGTTGTTGCAGAGCTTAATTAAAGGCGTACTCGTAATATGAAGCGACACCGATTGTTCTGGAGAGTTAGTTGAAGCGGAAAATTATGTGTTCGTTTCTTAAAATGTTGTACTCTAGTAAGACAAAAAAGGCTCACCCTATGCTCTTCGAAGCTTTGCCAGAGGAGATAGTTGCCCTGAAAGGCAAGAAGGTTGCTTAAAACGACAATATTATGAAATGCGTGAGCCCGACAAGGATAAGTAGGCAAAACATGCACTTTTACTTATCTTAATAACACGAATAAAAGGAATGAAGTAAAGGCATCAAATCGCCCACCGTCTTCAAAAGAAGCACAACTCAAAATTACAAGCTTGCGAAAAACTATTTCTTAGCACATGCTAATCGTATAGGTACCTTAAGTTTTTTTTAACAAATTATAACAAAAACTTGCTCCAGCTTTTGCTGAAAGGTAAATAAAAGCTCTGTGCCGCAATTGCGTGCTGTAGCCTTGCAGCTGATAGCGATTTGAAAGCGTCAATGATAAGGAAGAAAATCAGCATAACATTAAATTCAAAGAAAACAATTTTGAAGGTAAACTCAGAACTCCATATAGAGTAAATAATCCGAATTTCAAGCCGATGGCATCAAAAACAACAAAGTTCATGTAGGTACACCAGATCGGGTATATGGCGCTTGTATGATAGAGTGCCTTGAATTGAAAAAGAGATTCGTAGGTGAACTCAGGACTCCTTAGTACGTATACAAACCGAATTTCAAGTTGATAGTATACAAAAATCGCATTTGATGGCGGCTATATGATATATAGCCTCGAACCGAACAAAATTTGTTAGATCAACTCAGAACTCTATAATATATATCTAAACCGAATTTCAGGCTGATATATTCATATGCCAAAACAATGAATTTATATAGTGCAATGTGCGCTTCGTGGCCAATTTTCATTTCTGTAGGATCCGTTTTCGGTTCGTTTAGAACTCCTTGTCAGTTCGAGTTTCGGTCGGTCCTCTAAAGGATACGGTTCACTTGTTGCGGTT